TAAATACTCAAGCCCTAGGACAAAATTGAAGAGGTTGCTACATTATTCTTTCATTGCAAAAGATATTCATAACATCTTTGAAGAGATCCAAGGTGCAATTAATTGGAGATTTTATCTACATCAATCTTGTGATCCGAAAACCATTGTTTTGGGTAAAAACATTAAATCTACGTAATCCAAAACACCTTACCTCCTTAATCTATTGATAAAGAGACTCTCTCATTGGAGGATTGGAAGAGGTGGATTGAGGCGCAGTTACAAGCACAAGAATGGATGGTTCTTGGTGTTCCACTCTGTGATACAATCAGCTAAGGACCAGGAGGTTGTAGTGGACAGCAGATTGGGCTACAGGAGGTAGATTGGGAAGTCTAGCAAGAGGCTAGAAGTATCTACAGCAGTAGATCGTGAGACTGGAACAGAGGGTCTGATTGGGTACGGAGTTTGGTGTAACTTGTACTTACTGAATTGGTATAGTGGAGGTAACTGGCTTGGTCCTGGAGTTTACCCATGTTAGGGTTTCTCCGTCATCATATTGTTTGTTATTTACTAATTTGCATAATATACAAACTGTAGCATTCCAACATAGTTTAATTGACTTGTATGATTAATCATCTAGACAACTAATAAAGTGACTTGTTGCTTTAGTTAGACTAATTTCGCACATAAGGTCAAATTGGTTAAAGTAAAATCTAGAACATAAACTTGGTAACGCATAAAATTTGAACTTGATACTTTATCACATTAGTCGAACTTTCAGCATACCTAAGCGTTCTAGGTCAATTTTTTTTTTTTTCACTTTGGTTACTGATCTTGCCATTTTGGTATAGAAATTGCCTGAAAAATCCTTCCGCCTGCTGGAAAACTGATTTTCCTAGTTACTATTTTCATTTCTTCCTCATTTCGGTTGCCGTCTTTGCTAATTTTATGTAGAAAACTGCTCGAAAACCATCTTTTTCAATGGTTTTTTAGTGTGGTGAGAACATGGTTAACGTATCATTTCCCCATATGGTGTCAATTTATTGACCTCAAAAAATGCGCCAATAGAATCCGTACCACGTCACTCCCTATCGACTCATCTGCACATTGAACACCTCATTAGAATGCAAAGGCCATCGATCGAGAAAAATGTCTGGTTATAGTTTGCACTCCGACGGTCAAATCAATGGTCAAACGAGAAAAATATGGGTGCAAAAAGGGAGAGGGGATTTTGGCTGGGGTTAAAAATCATAGTGTTAGCATAATTTGTGTGATTGTAGCATAATTAATGGGATTGCTAAATTATGGGGATTATAGATTGCTTAATTATAGGAATTATTGTATCTTTTCTCATTTTATAGCATAGGCTCTTTTATATAAATAGGGCATACACCTTGTATTATAAACATAACTCAGAAATATAATTATCCAATTTTCATACTTCTTCTCTGTTTTGTAACATGTTATCAAAGCTTAGATGCCTCTGAAATATCTTCTGGCCTGTCCTCTCTATAATTTTCACTTTTCCAGTCTTCAACCTCTGAAAGATCATTGATTTCTCTGTAATTTTCCCTTTACTCCAGTCTTTTGTCTCTATGATGCAGAAAACAAAAATTTCTTCTTCAATTGTTACTGATATCTCCAAACCTATTACCACTACTTTGACCGGTTCTAACTACAATTTATTGGTTCAAGGAATGAAAAGTTTTCTTACTGGGTGCAAACTTTGGCGCATTGTCTCTGGTGATCCCTCGTGGAAAAGATGAGACTGATGAATATGAAGGTCGTCTTGAAGATTTGTATAGCAAGAATCATCAAATCATTACCTGGTTTCGAAATACTTCTGTCCCTTCGATTCATATTCAATTTGCAACTTATGATAACGTAAAAGAGATATAGGATTTCCTAGCAAACAGGTATAAACTACTGGCCCTGCTCACTATTATCAATTGTGGACAACTTTACATAATTTGAAACAAGATGCTGGGCAGTCTATGAATGATTTCTTGGCTCAAGTACAACCTATTTGGAACGAACTATCTCAAGCCAAAATTAGTGAGGATCACCTTCATCTCATCCAAGTTCTTATGGCTCTTCGTCCTGAGTATGAAGCTGTTAGGGCATCTTTGTTGCATCGTAATCCTCTGCCCATGTTGGATTTTGTCATCCAAGAGATTATCTTTGAGAAAACTCATCTTGGCCTGGACAAGTCTCTCCAGACTGAAATTGCTCTTGCTACTACTCATTCTAGACCCTCATACCGCAAATCAGAGACAAATTTTTGTAAACATTCTTGTTAAAATGGCCACTTATTCTCTGTTTGTCGAACTATTGAGTGTCGATACTACCATGAAATAGGTCATATAATTGAGAATTGACATATTACGCCACCAAGACCTAAAGGAGTAATTTCTAAGTCTAAACATGTCTCTAAGCCTGGATCTTCTGCTATTTTTGCTACTACTACTTCTGACAATTCTACTTCTATCACTGTGAGTGATTTGGAGGCCCTACTCAAACAGGTGACTTCTTCCAATTCTTCCTCTGACATGTCTATAACTTCAAGTAAATCTTCTTGGCTTTTTGATTCCGCTTGTTGTAATCACATGACCTCTAGTATACCTATCTTATCCCCCAATACACCTATATCCTATCTTCCTCCTGTTCACACTGTAAATGGTAAAAAGATGAACATCTCTCATGTTGGACGTGTATCGACCTCATATCTTAGCCTTCCTAATACCTACTGTGTTCCTAATTTTTCCTTAAACCTTATCTCTGTTGGTCAATTATGTGATCTCAGTCTTACTGTTATTTTTTCCCCCTCTGGTTGTCAGGTACAAGATCCACAAACGGGCCAGATTCTCGGGATGGGTCGCAAGGTGGAAGATTATTTGAGCTCATCCCTCTTCGAGTTCCGTTACAAAAAGTGTCAACTGCTGCAACGTCTAGTTCTTCATTGTATCAGTGACATCTCCGTCTTGATCATGCTTCGACTAGTAAAATTCAAGCTTTAATTTCTCGTGGGCTGTTAGGATCTACAAAATTTGAGTCTTTTAATTGTCTGGAATGTCAACTTCCAAAAAAACTTGCTTTATCTTTTAATAATATTACTTCGATTTCTAATGTTCCTTTTAACATTATCCATTCTGATATTTGGGGACCTTCTCCTATTCCATCTATAAATGGTTATCGATATTTTGTTTTATTTATCGATAATTATTCTTGTTTTACGTGGATTTATTTTCTGAAGCAA